TATTGGATCTAGCCCCTATAATATCATGAAAATGGAACTCCTTCCAACATCTCTCTTCCAGCAGAGAGGAATATTATTACATGCTTGACAATCATATCTTGTTTCTGAAGCTTTTCCTTTATTCTCTTATGCTACCGTTTATTTATACTGACACCAGGCACAAGTTTAAGTATATGGCTAGGAAATTCAATGATGATTTAAATCTGAATTTGATTGAGTAGAGGGTAGAGGATTTGAGAATTCAAAGAGTTGAAGATAGAGTTGTTAATGGAACTGTATATGAGATAGAGTAGTAGTGTCAGAGTCAGTGTCAGAGCTAGTAGTAGCCAATTGATGAAGAATAAAAGCATTGATAATAGCATGGTCAATAATCCAGTATAGAATTGCCAATCAAGTGTGATTAATGGACATATAAGTCTCATAGAAAGCTCTATACTGATTTGCAAGGTCAATCCCATTTATATTATGATTGTAATCATCAATAATGGTAGGAATCTCTACTGCTTTTTATCAATTGTCTTTAAATATTCTCTGGATTTGAGATTCATTAATAGAGTTCAATTTTGGATGCTTTCTAACACTCAATAAAACTGTCTGGCAAATGAATTGTAGACAGTAGTAATATTATGTTATTGTCTTTTCATTCAAGACAGAGAATCTCATTTTGAGATATTATATATAGAGTATTAAAGAGAATAAGTGAAAATAGTCTGGAGTTCTTTAGTTCTTTCACAAGAGGAGGGAGATTGACAGAATGAATGGTTTCACAAACTTCAATTCCTTGATTTCAAAGATAATGAAATAGAGCAACAGAGGTGAAGTAATTTTCCATATAAATTGAGTAGCTAGCTATCTCTTTATTGTTATTCAACTTCCTATGCTGCTCAAAACTCTGCTGCTTGAGATGCTGCTCAGAGTGCTGCTGCTTAGAGTGCTGTTCAGAGTGCTGCTTAGGATGCTGCTTGAAACTCTGCTGCTCGGAGCTCTGCTGCTCGGAGCTCTGCTGCTTGAAGCTCTGCTGTTTGAAGCTCTGCTGTTTGAAGCTCTATGTAACGGGCGTACATTGATTAACCATCTAGCACTATCCTAAATATAGATTACGAATTGATTAAGGAAAGAAAGAGAAAAGAGATCAGAAGGAAAGGTTGTACGAAGGGGGTTTTTATAGAGGGGAGATCGGGGCGGAAGAATATCAGAAGCCGCCCCGCAGTGGAGCACGGATGTATGTATGTATGTATAGGTTTAACGTCCCGGAGAAAACACGGGCAGCGCCCGTGTTTCAGAAGCCTCCCGAAGGGCATGGAGACGTGCTACGCTGGAGAGATTTCTATGTACACAGAGAGAGAGAGAAAACAGAATCCAGGTGGCAACTCTTGAGAAGACTCAGCTCATTGCAAAGGATTTTTCTGAGCTGCGCATTCACTTCTGGCCCGACGTATGGCCATTCATGGTGGGGCTATAGTGTGGTTTCCTGAGGGGACCGCCGCTGCCGTGCCTGGAAGGCTTTATAGTGAGCAGAGAGGGATACCTCTCTCAGTTGATCAGAAAGCTGTCTGTGCTTCTAACATCAGAAGAAAGACAGACAAGATAAATAATGAAGAAGAGAGCACTGAAGAAGGTTGTGACAGGAAAAGAGCAGAGAATGACAGAGAGAGCAAAGAAAAGAAGGAAGAAGAAGCATTTGAGCCGATAGAGACAAGGGTAAACGAGAGGAAAACAAAGCAGAGCACGCGTAGATACAATGCCGGCAGTCAAAACCATATCAGCTGAGTCAGACACGTAGACTGTACTGATTACACCACAGCTAATTGAGACAGATGAGCCTATTTGTGCTATCTGTACTGTCTGCATAGACTGTGATGTCCCTGGCAGTTGCACTAGCTACCGTTGGGATTTCACATGAGTGTATTGAGAGTTGAACTAGAATCTGCTTTATTAGCAGCGCAGATCATCTTCAATTTCAACTTGATTTTCAAAATCTTTATTTCCTTAGCAAAGCTCTTACATTTCTGCTTCTCTATTTCACATTTCGTGAGTAAATGTCGGAGGTCTCTATTTTCAGCAGCTCATTCAGCGACCTCAGAATCAAGATCATCACTGACTGAGGGTTTGAAAGAGTCTTCTTCAGAATCATCATGATGAGATCTCATCTTGCTCAGAGCTCTGATCAGCCGGCGGAAGGCAGTGGTTGAAGCTGTAGCAATTTCATCATTGAAATGGATTGGTGATGAGGTGATTGGTAAAGGCTCAGAGCCCTCAAGAACTGAACTGTTGAATGTGTCAGATAGATGTTCACAAGAAGAATGTGAATGATGATGTAGTTGCAGCTATGGGGTATTATCCATATCCTCAACAGTTGAATTGAGGGGTTGCCCGCGAGAACGCGAGCGGTCATGATGGTGGGTTATATTTGGATTATTCTCTACCATTTTTAGTAGTAGCAGTAACTCTGCTCTTTGTATTGAATCCTTGTCAGTATAAGCTTTTGTGGTGTGGATAACTGGCAAAAGAGTGTTTTTATTTGAACGTTGTGTGTTCCACTACGCTCTAGTGAGCAATAGAGTGAGAATCAAAACAAGATCTCAAGAACGCGTCAATTCGGATGGAATAAGACGATTTTAATCACTGAGAGGTGTATCGAATGAAGCAATAAGCAAGAAAAAACGATTATATCAATAAGAAATCCCGAATTGATAGCGTTGTGCACAAAACAGGCCTCATAACCTGTGAGAGGTGAAAAGCTTGATTGATTAATTGCTAGCTAAGCGGACCATTTTATATAGGGTAAGAGTATTACACAAGACACGCGGTTGTCTCATAAAAAATTAATGACTGAATTCTTTACTATCTGAATCTCTGTGTAGATATTGATGGAACGGGTAATATTCGAAATATTTGACTCTGAGATATAGAGAGAGAATAGAGTGTATGAATTCTATGAATCAATATTGAGCAGATTGGCAGTTGAAGAGTGATGAAGAAATTTCATGAATTTGAATTTAATACTTTTCAAAAATGAAATGTCTGCAAGAAATGAGATGATGAATCACTTTTATTTTGCATCTATTTTTATACTGTATAATAAAGAAATCAGTCAATCTGATTGAAAGAAGCATTGAAGAATTGAAAATCATCTGTAGAAGTTATATTTCTATCTCAGAGTAGGCAGAATGAACAGAGTGAATATGAATATGAATCAAAAAAAGAAGGTTGCAAGATTGCAGAATGTATAGAGCAGAAAATATGAGATAATGAAGCAGTATCAACAAGATTACATAGATTTTAGTATGAGAAATTATTGGTTGGTACTTCTAAGCTAACAGCTTAGTTATTACACTAATGGTATTGCGCTAATAGTTGCCTCGCGGCCAGACGAGGGGATAGCTCTATGCATAGGCTACTGGGTCAAGAGAGCTCATTCACCATCTACACAGTAGAGGGGATGAACCAACTCAACCCAATCCCTCCAACAATAGCATCCGATCAACCTTGGCGAAACAAAAAGAAAGACGTTGGTGGTCACCATTGAGATTACGCTTCCTAATTCAACGTACTCATGGAATCAACAGTGAGCAACAATCCACCTACTCTCACACATCTACCTGCAACAGCAGCGGTAGATAGGCAGATTGGGAACATGGATGCGATGGATGCGATTAACACGTATGTTTGGTGGGCTGAGGGGAGGGTTTCTGTTTGGTTTGCTTCCCTGCTTACTATCTTTTCTTTTCTTCGGTTTGAAGCTGTTCACTCTATTTCCTAGTCAATAGTTGCACAGAACAAATACCGCGGCCTGAAGAACATTAAAAGACCTAATTAATATACATAATACATAAACAGACATGTGTATACCTATATTTTCCTACCCTATCACAGTAGAGGTCAAGGCCAGAAAAGCAACATTTTAGAAACTGGGGAACAATGTGTGCCGTCGTCTAATGGGCAGGTGAGTTTCCGCGTTTATAACTTGCTCAACTTTTGAAGCTCTAGACGTGTTTTGAGAATGCAGGAAGTGTCATATCAACGTTTATCAAGGACTGGACAAAAGGGGGAATTTTTGGACTGGAATATTGAGATGAATATTCACCCGCCGAGTTATCCGTATATGGTTGGGAATATATTTGATGCTGCGGAGAGGATTGGGTTTGAGATTCTAGGCGATATTAAGGAGGTACGGATTGATAACGAGTAGGTAGAGCAGTTAGGCAGGATGGTGCGTAAGCGGAGCCAGTCGTTGGTGTGGTTTCGTGGCTGTTTTAGGAAGAAGCGGATGGCTACGCCAGTTACTGTGCGATGAACAAGGGTTGGAAGAAAGGAAGGTTGGAAGGAAAGGAGTGTAAATATGAATAGTATGATACATGTAACTATTTTGTGTTTGGAAAAGGGAGAACATTGGGGTGTCAAGCAGTTGGAGGCTGCCGGACTTCCTCATTTTACTGATTTGTTCATCATCGGGTGTAGGTACAATCTAACACACGCAATATAGCTAATCGTGATTGGCAACCAAACTCTAAAAATGTCTGTCTCGTATCCGTTCGCGATGTTGCACAAGATTTGAATACTTTTTGAGGCATCGTCCGATGGGGTTCCGCTTCCAATTTAGAGTGTCGTCTAGTAGTAAATGGGTATATGCAAATACGCTGGCATCGAATAGGCCCGGATCCTTGTTTCCAAAAAAGTAGTTATCATTTCCTAGCAAAGAAGCTAGAGCCTCGAACGCGTTTTTGGCTTCCGCCTCGAGATCATCCACATCTATAACGGATGATGATTTGAGGAGTTCATCTCGGGCTGCTTGCTGAAGCTGCCGGGCTAATATCGTTCGAACGAGAGGATTAGATGTCGACGAGTCTATATATAGATTTCTCCCGATGGTGTTGAAATTCTGGCAGTCTAAATAAAATGTATATAACTATTTTTGTGTCGGTTAAGGCGCAAGTTCCAAACACCGTTATCAAAATATCCAGAGGTTGGATTGACGTACCCAGGCATTTCGTATGTTATGATCTAGCAGAGACGTATACACATCAAACCTCATATTTAACTGCTGTTCCTCCTCAATATGGGATTGCTCAATAGCCCATTTTTGGATCTTGTTTGAAGGGATTGGGCCCTTTGGACTAGTTGGGACTGGGGTAGCAGAGGAAGTTGGGATAAGGAACGGAAGAGCATCCGTTGGTGACGCATGATTATTAGAGGGCACGGTTTCGACGAAATCCCACGAATTTGAGTATGCCTGGTGTAAGTTCGTGTTATAAATGTCAGCTACGCAAGTAGAACG